AGAGACTTTTCTCAATGGCACAGCCAGGTGGCACAGCGTTCTTATTCTGGTGTCACGCACTGTCAGAAGTTCAAATTGCTGTATTTTCGAAATGAAAGGTGCTTCGGGGCTGGAAACTTGTACAAAGATTTATTTTCTATTTATCTTCAACCTAATGTATATAAGAATTCGTAAAACCTCGCTTCTTTGACTTTGCAATCTGATGACGTGACTGTGAAAACCATCAGTACAAAGGTAATACGTAAATAATAAACAATTTGATGGTAGAAAATTAAAGACAGATTCTTGAGTTCGAGTGAGTTATTTGCAAGAATCATCAATTATTGTGATGGAGGCAAATAAATGGTAGATGCGCTCAGGGCTCTAATCAGTTAGAACGCTGACGAAACAACAGGCTGAAGCGAGAAGTGTAGCGTGACCTGCTTGTCAAAAAACAATGACGTAGGAGAAAAAGCGTTCTCCGATTGGTAACAGAAATACATAATTTTTTTCCAAGACACACGATTTCAAGAACAACAAAGCTAAACTACAAACGGAATTCTTTGAAGTTAAAACGTAGTTGCACAGTTAAATGGAGTTCACTGGGAAACTAAAGAGAATGGACAGACGACATTTTAAATGATTTGTCGGAGAAGGGAAAGCGAGTTGCATGTCAATATGTCTTGTGATGCCTTTCAGAGCGACACTTAACTTCCGCATTTGATTTGTTCAAAGCTGTAAATTTCTGTTGGTCGTCCTTGGATTTCCGCGGGCGAAGGAAACTAATGGTGTACTTTATCAGGCCAAGATATTACCCAACATGGCACGAAATAGCTGGACATTTTAATATTATAAAGTGAACTCAGTGAGAAACCGACTTGTGTGCATTTGCTTCATCACAAAACCTACAGAACCTATCAGTTCAGTGGAGTTGAAGTTGCATTAAACACGCAACTGGCGTGGGTGCGTTAAGCAAAACATGTAGCAAAGGCAAATTATTAATCAGTAGTCTACATTCAGATGATATGGACTGATATTTGGAGTTTTTGCTCATTAACCGATCCACCTGGGAGAAATTACGAAAGCTATGCTTTGAAATACATGTAGACAAAGAACGTTCAAGGTAAAGTTAACTTCAATTTTATACAGACTTAAGCTGTTTTCCTTAGATCTCTTTCAGCACACAGTTAAAATCAGTTAGCTTGAACAGAACATCATTCTTGGAAGCGGAGATGTAATTTCCTTAATTCAGTAGCATCTCTTAAAAGAAAATAACTGTATTTTTACTGATTGATCATGTATTTTACTCAGCACCACTGAAACTGGTTTCATTTTATCACATTTTCATTCCGAAATGCAAATATCTTTTTGTTAACGACTCACTAGTGGTAATTATCAAGTTTGTAAATACATGGGAAAAGATATTAACTTATTATTGCGAGGCGAACGATCTTTTAAACGTTTTAAATAGTGTTACCACTCGCGCCCGATACATGGCTCAGTGCTTGTTCTCAGTGCTTGTTCTCTCTTTCACTGGTTGCTTGTCAAAATTGACTTGATATTATTTTAATATATTCTCAGCTTAGCCAGGGCAAAAGGGATCTCTTACCCCAATTTTTGCTCAAAATTAACTCTAAATGTTCATTTTATTTAGCATGCTTAGTGGTAGACATTTTAAAAAATAAACCTTAAAAATTCAACCGATGATATGACCGATTATTTTTCTCTAGGACCGGTTACAATGAATGTTTGTATAAATTTTGGCGCCAACTTTTAAAGGGCGCGCGGTCGCGCGAGGAACAGGAAATGAATTTTCCTTCGTTTTAGGACGGGGCATAGCAAGTATGTGCTAGTATGTGCTATATTCTTTGTATTTTTTGTCCAGAATTTGTTCTTACACTTTCAAATTACGAACTATTGTTCGTTCGTTTTCACAGTATATAAGGAGGGCATTTGTACTGGAATGTTCATTCCAGGTTTCAGGTCTACTCGCACCGAGAGATTGCAAGAGCTTACGAGAGGCTAAACGTTTTTCACCATGACCCAACGCTTTAATCACTACGAAAGTTCTGTAGCCGAACATGTCCGGATCTGGAGCAACCAGACTTTCATCGACACTAAGCTTGGTTACATTCACTTAAGTCTACTTTTCCACTTTCCACCTGAAACAAGCTACCCAACCTGTATTTTCTCTACTTGGCTTTCGTCTTCAGTTTTTCTTGAGTCATTCGAATAAGAAGGAAAACATTTTCCCTATTTTGTGGCGATGTTTTTGTTTTCGAATTTTTTCGGTCGTAAGAAATGATTTGGACAGCTTGCGAGAACATTTTGGGCAAATGGAAAGCAATTTCAGAATCCCTTCAGTCAAGACTAAACATTCTCAGCTAAAAGGAACGTGACATTATTGAGTATAATAAAACTGGTAAAAGCCTTGTAAACCTACCGATTGTTTAAAGTTGTCCCAGTAGAGATACAAGGAACGCTTTGGAAACTCATACTTGCAAATCCTCGAATATAGGGGAAAAAATTGAAAACTGTAGCCTCTTACTCCTTTCGCTATAAATTTATGCCTCACGTCGCGGACACTCAGTACGAACTGGTACTATACTGACTCGCAGTTCCATCTTGCATATATAAGCAATTCATTTGTTGACCTTTTCATCTGATTGGTGCGAGGCACGATAACTTTCCGGTTCATCTCTTTTATTGAAAATATGCCAAAAACTTTTCTTTATTCTTTATGACCTGATAGGCAGGCAGACAGGCAGTCACACAGTTTCACACAGGCAGGCAGACAGGCAGGCACTTTAAGGCAGGCACGGTTTGGCACTCGTCTCCAGGGTCTTCTCGTTAGACCCTGCGGACGAGGTTGAAATGAAAAGTTGCGGTGTCGTTCGTGCAATTCCAAAAATTTACCATTATGAGGCTAGAACTATTGCACATGTTGATGTTATTCCCATTTCTTCCTAATCGTAACGCCTTCGCCTTGATTAATAAGAGAATCGTTCTGGCACAACCCACTGTAATTTTGGTATCGTACGATGGTTTCCGGTGGGACTACATGGAGAAAGTTCATACTCCGAATTTGAATGTAATCGCAAGTAATGGCATCAAAGCGAAACACCTTCTCAATACCTTTGTTACCAAGACATTCCCGAATCATTTCACATTAGTTACAGGACTTTATGACGAAAGCCACGGGATCGTAGCAAATACGTTTTTCGATCCTATTTTCAACGACACTTTCTACTTAGATGCCCTGTCAAAGCATTACTTGGATTCAAAATGGTGGNTACGATGGTTTCCGGTGGGACTACATGGAGAAAGTTCATACTCCGAATTTGAATGTAATCGCAAGTAATGGCATCAAAGCGAAACACCTTCTCAATACCTTTGTTACCAAGACATTCCCGAATCATTTCACATTAGTTACAGGACTTTATGACGAAAGCCACGGGATCGTAGCAAATACGTTTTTCGATCCTATTTTCAACGACACTTTCTACTTAGATGCCCTGTCAAAGCATTACTTGGATTCAAAATGGTGGAACGGAGAACCGGTGTGGATCACGAATCAAAAAGCTTTTAAGAAAAGTGCTGTGGTGTTTTGGCCTGGTTCAGAGGTGAAAATAGAAGGCCAGTACCCTACACACTATTTACCCTATGATCGGTCACTTTCCTTCGAGAAACGAATAGATTATTTATGTACAATGTTAGAGCAGGATGATCCTCCAAGCTTTTTGGCCGCTTATTTTAACGAGCCAGATCACAGTGGGCATAAATTTGGCCCTAATTCACCAGAGTTTAAAACTGTTTTTCGCAGAATGGATAATATCACTGGATATCTGTTGAAAAGTTTACGAAATTGCGGATTGTTGAATGAGGTAAGAATAACAAGTAAACGATAACCACAATGATGCACAAACTGCATGTGATAAGTTATGTTACGTTGTTACGGAGCTCTCTTTTTCAGGGTGAGCAGCTAATTAAGATGTGAGACGAGATAGTGCACATTACACGCCAATGAGCTTGACAAAGTAATCATAATTATCTCCTGGCACAAAAGCCAATGCCAAAAAAAAAAACAAACCCACACTTTAACTTTAAGAGGCTAAGTTTAGGCTAAGGAATACCTGTAGCAAGAAATCTTACCTGATGAGGATAACTACAGTTGGCACAAAACCACTGTGGAAGAGAAGCTAGTCAGTAGAGAAAATAAAGTGTTTAATTTGACTTTCCCTAAATGTCAAATGATCATTGTCTCCAATGGTGAATGCAAGGAACTCCAAAGGAAGTAAATGTTAAAAAAATATTGCAAGAAGGGCGAGGGGTGTGCAAGATGTTAAACATAGTGGTGAACTAAATTTTTCTCTCCCCTGAAGTGTTTCGATTGACCATTCTGTGCGAAGTGAGAGCAAGCACAAAACTTTTTTGCCAATTACTGACCAAATTTTGCATTTGGACCCCACCCCACACCCCCTTCACCATGCCCTTTAAGAGACCAAAATAATTCAAAAATTTCATAGCAAAATGTACTGTAGTAGTAGGGTTGCCAATCCTCACGTAACTACTTGAACTGAAGAAACAACCTGAGACACAACCTCTAGTTTTTACCCCTAAATGTTTTTACAAATAGTAATCATAATTGTGAGAAATATTCATTTTACAATAACTGAGTGATTTCTTGTGCGCTAATTGATGGAGAGCGTTGTTAGATAAGCGTACAGACCATGGAAATGATGTGATGGTGGCAAAATTTCTTTCTCTCTGTCTTGTGCACGTAACTTTTCAAGAAATTTCAAAGGAAATGGATGTCAAAACTGTCAATGTTATTGTAAAAAACAAATCGACAACAATTTTTCATAGTCTCTACTGTTATCGACCATGGAAATGATGACAAAATATTCAAAACTTTGCAGTGAAACCACTCACCTGCAGCTTGTTGTCGATTTGTTAACTTCCCCAGGAGAGAGGAGAGAGTGTTTGGTCACATCACACACACACCCTACCCCACCCCCTCACTACTTCAAAAAAGCCTTACAACTCACCAGTAAGCAGAATAGCAAGGCCACCTTAGCAACCCGATGGACAGGAAGTTTCTGATCTTCACCCAAGTGGTAAGGAAGTCTGGTCAACCTTGCCTGTTCAGAATTATGGTCTGAAAAATGCAAATTTTCTCCATTCAAAACATGGAAACTTTTCATGATTGAGCTGTAAATACTATCCGGAAAAAGCTCCCTAATAAAACAAATTACATGTATTTACCTGATAATTGTCGCACTTCTCTCACACTGCTAAATGTCACCCGCCTAGGTCCTGTTATATAGTTAAGATAATGAGTGTATTAAAGCAAGTGACCAATATTCAAAATATTTTTCACTTTATTACCACTTGTAAAATTACCCAATTCTGTTATCTGATTTTGAAAAGTAATTGAAGTTGATAGTATGCCATGCATGTAATTAAAAGTTAACATTAATTTACTTCAAACAACGACAATGCCGGATGTGAGTAACAGGGCACCCAGACTATTAGTAAGCACTCGGTATAATTAATCTCTCTCCAAGGCATGTGTTTTTAACTTACTTGGAATTATTTCAAAGGAACTACTGGCTACTTCAGCTGATCGGCTGGCTGAAATATCTTCATCTGTCATTTCTTCAAAAGTTGGCTCATTCTGACAAAATTAACAAAAGACAGTAATGAAGACTACAGGCCACAGGCAAACAGAGTTTAACCATTGTTACTAAGATGAAACCGATAGTTTTCATTAATTTGTTTCACCTGGATATTTAAACACTGTTTACTGGGAGAGTGTCAAGAGATGTTACTAAAACAGTTGACAAGTAGTATAGGTACCCTTAGAAATAGAGAGTCATTTATTTTGCTATTTAATCTTTTATTTTATTAATATATGGTTGTTATAATTTCCAGTCTTTGCACAAAATTTTATGAACTGACGGTCACCATACAAGTGAAACCTCCCTATTTCAGCATTTTTGTAACGTGAAATTTATGAAATTTGTTGAATTTTAACTGTGGCTTCCTTTGGAAGTTTAAAAACATGCAACTCACCATTAGTGGTCTTCGGATTGGGGAAGTTTCCCCTGAGGATGAAGGTGAGTTTAAAAGAGATGTGTGTTCACTGTCTTGATTTACATACCAAGACCTGAAAAAAAAATGTCCAGACAAAATGCTACAGCAATTGATCCATTTTTCTAACCCCTGGAAAAGGAAAATTGTTTCATATTTGGGGAAGCTTTAAAAATTTTAGGGTAAGATTACAGATTTTGACTGAGAAAAAGAAGTAAGTTTTAGATTTTATAGTAGAGAGTTTAACAAAACAGGAGGTAATTCAAGATAAGGAATCAGCTGCATTTTCAAGTGAAAAAGTGAAGAGATGCCAAAAGAAAGCCCTCAGTGACCTTGGAGTAAGTAAGAGATTCTCCATGTGAACTTTAATGTGGTGACCCCCTAAAAAATATAAAACAAATATTTTGAAAGTTCAATTTGCCAATTTGCACATCAGCCAAAATAAACCTTATTTGCTTCCCCCTCCTCCTTGCAAATAATTGCATACCCTTTGTTTTAATTTCCAACCGGGTATTACAGTCATCTCACAAGAAATTGGAAAAATTACAAAATTTTCAAAAATTGGGAGATAAACAAGGTGTTTTATGGGAGCTGCGCAAATGGCAAATAATAATCTAAGGATCTGCATAGAGATGATAATGTTCTTTCTTGTCACTTACATTTGAGGATGTTTCTTTCTTTAAGCATGCAATGCATTGAAGCCTCCTTGGCTCATAAAAAAGAAATCCAGTCAAATATATCATAAACGATGATGTCTTGAAGAATGTGGTGAAAAAAGGCTTGTCAAATCCTTCATATTTGAAGATAAACTGCAAAGAAAAAGGTTTTGGTCAAACTAGATGTAAGTATAACAGAAAACTAAATTCCTAATTCTGTGTAAACCATAAAAGCTACAAATACTTGATAAGAAACAGTGAGAATGTTGATTAAGACATAAACGAGATTGTAATCATTATGGACTTACTGGAGATCTGGGCAACATGGATTTTTGACAGATATGAGAGAGTGAAAGAATCTTTAACTTACACATTCCACTTCTTATTTACACAACCCTGTGATGCCAGCGATGGTAACTATTTACTGTCTAGTGGAAAGCAAACTTTTGTTTTCATAAAAGCTGTCAAAAATTTGTTCAGAGCAGAGCCAGATCCAGACTTTGAGATAACGGGGACCCGGTCATCCAGACTCTTAGACGGGCGGGAAGGGGGGGGGG